GGTTGGCATAGCAGTTCCTTAGCACGGCATGTCGGGGGTGGCAGAAGATACTGCACCTTACTGTGGGCCCGGAACGGGATCCAGGGATATACGAGGGAATCGGAGGATCCCCAACTCTCTACCATTACACAATAGAACAACGATTCACACGCCAACACTACACAATAGATCCATAACTCATGACTAAGGGTTGATTATCCTCCTAGTACGTAACACAATGTTGAGGTTGGCATAGCAGTTCCTTAGAACAGGCCGGAATAGGCTCCAAGGACATACGAGCCAACGGAGGATTCTCAGGAGATACTGCACCTTACCCCGGGGCCGGAATAGGATCCAGGGACTCATGAGTGAACGAAGGATTCTCAGCTATCGATCACCAACACACAATAGAATATCCGAATAATGTACCGATGAGACCTATAGAGATATGGCTAGTCCTAGCGCCCAAAGTACGTGTGTGGCAAGGCTCATACGTCTATGCTTCGATCAGGACTGAATAGAATAAGCAGGGTTCCACTTAGGCCGGTATCCGCGACCATTGTTCGGTCAGGTCACCTCCATCTATAATAGACTGTAAGGTGATGGTCCTTATTGGATAAGGTAGGACCGTGGGAGTAGAGGTGTGCCAAGGGAAACTACGAAAGTGGTAGGTTGGAAGGGGAGTTCCATAGGAATACCGCATGGCCAAGTGCCGAAGACACTCCTCACATGTCTAGAAATCCAACCTCTACAGCAACCTGGCTTTTCTTTAAAAAAAAATAAAAAATAAAAATGAATGCAAGGTGGTATGAGTCCGTATGACAACCTAGTCTTTTGAGCAGGCAGGGTGTTCGAAGTGCATTTGCAAACTGTAACTAGCCCCATAGTGCAATTATAACTTATTTTTGTGATTGTACTTAACTTACCCCTACTTTTTTTCATGGTCGAGGAACGTTGGACCAAATTTCCAACAGGTGCAGCTCCCCGCCAATAGAAAGGAGTCATCTAAATTGACAGGCTCCAACTGGGCAGGTACTCCTACGACCTGTTCTTTTTTTTTTAATAAAAAAGGTCAATGCTTTAAGGGTAGGACCAATAGACACTGCCTGTGGTAACTCCGTTGAATGTTTGCTATCTGACTGACAAACACGATGCGTGTTTTACTTACTTTTTGAAATGAAAACCATTGGACAAAATATACATGGCTATCACCTTCTCTGGCAAGACTTTCCAATCTTTTCTAATTTGCTTGGATGGTATTTAGAGCCTAATCCGCGTTCGCTCGCCACTACTAACGGAGTCTCGGTTGATGTGCTTTTCTTTAGTTACTTCGATGTTTCAATTCGCTAAATCATCTTCGTTGCAGTTTCCTGATAAGAAATTCATGGATGAAAGAGAGCTTCTCCCCACGACGTTTCACCTTTCATTGTGTCCTTTCTTTCTCAATGCCAAGGCATCCACCCGATGCATTATTTTTAATATAGTAGAGTCCTTCGCTACTTTTGTTTTCTTAGGTCGGTACTCATAGGATTGTATGGATGACTATGCTTGGAGACCGAAGTGTCCGTACGACGGGGCTCATAGTGTTTCAATTGGGGTGGGGATGAGGTTGTCTTGTGCTGGTGTTAGTGTCTGCAATTGTTGCCAATATATCTAAGGTGGGACAAAAGTGTCTTCGTCGATCGGGAAGCAGGGGACACACTAAGGAAGAAATTTTGAGGTATGAAGGATTGGCTTCCGTGAGCCAAAAAAAGAAAAAAAAAGAAGAAAAAAAAAAAGAATAGACAGGGGTGCCTCCTCCTGAATGGAGGGCATGCATAGTTTTTGAACCTTCTTGTGAGTTCTCAAGTTTGTTGCTACAACCTTCATGACTATGACAAACCGGAAGGGTGCAATCAAGTCCCCTCGGTGCACTGAGCATGGTAGGGGCCAGCCCGCTATTTACCATTACCCTTGTCCTGGCGCTATGGGAGAGGAGGTTAACGGGTTATCTAAAAATCAGCAGTGAGATAGAGTGCCTTCAGCGTCCGTACACGCTCGGACAAGGAGGGGTGTGCTTCGACATTTTGAGGATTTCGACTGGGGTACAAACCTAGAGAGAGGGGGTCGGTTCAACATTTTCAATGGATTCACCGCTTGAGAATGTTCAAAATATTCAGCGTTTTTACAAGCTTAGATAGGGGGGGTCCGTTGAGCGTTTTCAGTGACTGCATCACTTTCGAATGTTTGAAATCTTCAGCGTTTCAACAAGCCTAGGGAGGGGGGCAAAAGGTGGACATTTTAAAGGTTTTAAAGTGGTGTATCCAACCTGAACTATACCCTCCCATGAAGTAATACAACAGGGGGAGGAATGGGGGAGGAAGGTTATAATTTTCAGCGTATTCATTATTTTTTAATAATTTTCATAGCCTTCACCGTTCCAACATACTCAGACAGGAGGGATGTGCGTTAATATTTTCAATGGATTCACCACTTCAAAGTGTTTAAAATGTTCAACGTTCATACATGATCAGACATGAGGTGTGGATGTTGAACAATCTAAAGGTTTTGAAGTGGTGAATCCACTTCAAATGCTAAAGTACGCCCCCCTTTACCACTAGTACCTTCGAGCCTTTTTTTGCCAACCCTGAATTTCACTGCACTCCGAGTTTGCTGAGCCTGGGTACCACTCCGTTTTCTTTCTGGTACTCTCACGGAAAGAAAAAACGAAAAAAAAAAAAAAAAAAAGTTGCGCCCGTGAACTCCGAAAAAGGGAAAAAAAAAACGAAACAAAACTTTGGTCGTAATTGCAGTTGTATACATTCTTGGAAGTGGTAGTGTGAGTGTGCCCTCAGTAAGGGCATCTCAGCCCCGTGGGCAGGTTGTCAGATTCGAAAAAGAGAATAGAAGGGGAAAAAAATGGGCACACGGATCCGTCTGTGAAAATGGTGGGATACATTTTCCTTAGTACCAGTGTGATGAGTGTTACAATCCTCTGACAAAACACAACTTGAGCAGATCAGAGATCACTTGAGCAATTCACGGATTCCCCCCTGCCTCATTGGCAGGGGACTTATAAGAAACACACCAGCAAGACAAAAAAGAAAACAGTAACATCTAGAATGTGACAGCCTTACCGGTGAGGTGCATTATGTGGAGGAAGACTCTGAGCATGGCCTCCAAGACTACCCTACCCGACATCATTGCAGTAGAAATAGTATTTTATTTTTCTCCTTTTTCTTTCATTCGTGGACAATATAAAAATCCGACTTATGGGATAGTACCGACCCTGTGTCCCACCCACGATAACTTCGGGAACTGGCAAAAAATCCTAATTTCCCAACATTGGCGAACATACTAGTGGGAAGGGCATAATTTTCAGCGTTTTCACTACTTCAAAAATTTCAGAAATTCCAATGTTTCGAGTAACTTCCTACCATACTTGTAACTCATCGAGGAGCGTGCCTCAACATACGTCTGGCATACCTCATGCACTGCACCACGCCACGCACCCTATGCGGCGCATAGCGATAACTAGGATACTTTAAAAAAAAAAAAAAAAAAAACTCGGGTTTCGAAAGTTTCTTAGCCCCCTCCCCTTGCAAAAATGAAAAATGCCCCCGTGAAGTTGAAAACCGTCCTTGCCCTGACCCCGAATTTTATTTTTGGGGGAAAGGCCTGCGGATTTTGAATATCGAATTTTGCAGGCTTTTCCCCTCAAAAACAAATTTGGGGCGAGGATCGGGCCGGTTTCCAACTTCACGTGACCATCATGCTTGGTGTTGGTGACGCTGATGGGTGACGAAGGCGATGAGGGTCATTGAGGATGATGAGGGACGACGACAAGGAAGATGGAGGGAGGATGGACAACGAAGGACGGATGACGAGGGTCGGCGAAGGAGGGAGGAAGGACTAGGGAGGATAACGCTGAGGAGAGATGAGGGAGGATAGAGGACGAAGGAGGGAGGATCAAGGACACTAGGGCAGAAGGCAGTGGGAGATGGCAGCGTCATGAGGGAGGGGCAGCGGCAAGACTCAATGGCAAGAGGCCGCGACAAGAGATAGTGGACAGCCATGAAGGTGGGTCACCACGGGCTGTCTCTCTCTCTCCTATACACACACAGAGGCAGGCATGCAAGCGTGCCAACTCTCTCTCTCTCTCTCTCTCTCTCTCTCTCTCTCTCTCTCTCCACCCCCCCTCCCCGATCCCTCCTCCACCGTTCTCCATCCCAACTCCTTCCTCTCTTTGACTTTTTTCATAACTCCTCCCTATTGCCCCTTCATCTTCCATTGTCGTTTTCCCCCTTCCCCACCATCGTCTCCTCTCTCTCTCTCTCTCTCTCTCTCTCTCTCTCTCTCTCTCTCTCTCTCTCTCTCCTCTGCCTTTATCAATCCAAGATTCTTCCTCCCTCTGCCTTTATCAATCCAAGATTCTTCCTCCGTCTGCATTTCTCAGGGTCTCGTTAGACACTCCTGAAAGAATCCTAAAATTTTTAGGACGAGTCCTAAATGTTTTTTAGGATTTCGTGCGGCGTCATTACATGCAATCCTAAAAATCATCTTTTAGGATTCGTCCTAAAAGGTCTCCCACAGCCGTTTTTTATATGCGTATACGCAGCCGTGACGCCGATGTCCGTCCATTCCTCGCTGGTGTCCGTGTTACACACTGTGGTGGCCCTTGAGCGGGTGAGGACGGGTTGGTGAAAAGCGCGGTCACCCAGAACTTCGAAAATTCAAATTCGAATCTTCGCGGACGCAGGGTGGGGGGGGGCGGAGGACGGCCAGGCGACGCGTGTGACGTAGAAAAGATGGCGTTGGCGAACTGTTCGGTGTGGGTATCCATCTTTCGAGTCTACACAAGTTGTGAGCAGCGGGCGCATCTTCCTGCAAGGCGCATTTTCACCTCCGACGTCCTGTGGAAGCGTAGAGCAGCGGGCGCGTTTTTGGCTCCGACGTGCGTCATCTCTTGTGGCAGCGTACAGCAGCGGGCGCAATTTGGCTCCGGCGTGCTTGGTCTCCTGCGGCAGGGTTGATCAGCGGGCGTGTCTTCGACGACTGTGGAAGGCGTCACGCTGTAGACGTGCAACGATTGTAAGAGATGGACGTTCGCGGCTGCGGGCACGGTCTACGCGAAGAAGAGATCGACGTGGTGGCGATGGCGGTGACTGCCGTCATTGTCAACACGATGAGCGACATGCCGTCATCCTCACGCGACATGGTGATGCAGCTCCGCAAACGAAGAGCGTTGTTGCAGAGTGTTGCCGAAGCGCCGGATTGTGTGGCCACGTGTGAGGCAGTCGTCCAGTGTGTCACGCTGTTGTCTGGCGTTGTCCCGCGACAGACCCCGCGTTGGTGGATTAGACGACGGACTGGCGGAACATGGGAGGGCCTCCGCCTGTGTGATGACGTGACGGACGAGTACTACCGGCAGAAGTTGCGCATGTCGATGGCCATGTTCACCCAGATCGTAGCCGCGTGCGCCGCGTACGTGGAGAAGAAGGTCACGCACTACAGGATCCCATTGCCAGTGGAGCAGGTGATCACTTTCGCGTTGTACAGGTGGGTGTCCGGAGAGACGTACGAGAGCGGCACGTCAGCCTTCGGCATCAGCAGGGCAACTAGACTGCAGGCCGTTCGCGACATCACTTCGGCGCTGTTGCAGGCGTACCCCAATGCGATAAAGTGGTCAGTGGGCCGTAGACGTGCGCAGATTCTGCGCGCTTTCCGTGAGAAGGGTTTCCCAAACTGCTTCGGCGCAATCGACTGTATACACATCTACATTGACAAGCCCGCCGACGCACCTTCCATTGTCACGTGGTCCCTGTCCATGGTTGTAGTGCGCGAAGTTGCATCGAAGGTGGGAGGACGTGGGTTGGTGCGATCGGTAGGCGGGTGGAATTGTCACGTGGTCCCTATCCATGGTCGTAGTGCGCGAAGTTGCATCCACGATTGAATGGCGACATGGTTGTCGTCAATGAGTTCCTCTGTTGTTTTCATCGATTGGACGGTTGCGTGGTTCGTACAGTTGTGCGAACGTTTGATTGGAAGAACCTTTTTTTTGTGTATCTCTCAGGGTTTTTTTTTTTTTTTTTTTTTTTTTGGAATCTCTTCATTTTTTTTTTTTTTTTTTTTTTTTGTCTCTCCAATTCATTTGTCATGAATGGTTTCGTGGGTCGTGGGACGTCAAACATGGCTGTTGAAATCATTGATAAAATTTGCATAATGTAAGTTAACGAAGAAAAATACAAAAAAGAGAAAGGTAAACATGGATTGTGTACATGCATAGGCGGCAATCATCTTTGAATCATTCCAGCGAAGAGACAAGAACAACGGACACATGACAAAAAAAAAAAGGTGCACTAAAAGCGCTTTGAAGTTCTTGCGCAGCGAACTGCGATGATAAAAACACAATATAGGAATCAAATCAATCAACCCGTCGTCGACTCCAACGACGGACACACTAAACAGCCCTGACCTGCACACAAAATACATGATTGGAATCAATTAACCCGTCATTATGCCACGACCGACACACTAAACATCTGCAGAGCCGGCGACGATTCTGGCCAATCCCTTCGACCGACACACTAAATAGGTGCGCACTGCACAACATTCCAACCACTGTGAAGCCCATCACAACCATCCATGTGTACATGCGCCCTTGTTCACACAAGCTCTGCCCCCCCCCCCCCAACTCCCCCCACCCCCTACACGTTATTTTTTCCATCGTCGTTGTTGTTATCATCGGGGGGGCCCGAACACAACCAATCTAGCTTTTTCGCATCCTCTGGCCCCGTTATGCTCGCATCGTGCCTGAAACCAATGCCGCATGGTGCCCATCCAGGGATGTAGTCGGGGTACTCTCCAAACGTAGCGTTCACCTTCCCAAGCCTCTCCGTGACGACTTTTGCGGCGCGGACGACGGATCGTCGATGATCGAAGGACCGATGCATGGACGCGACGAGTGTGGGGTTCGCCACCAGGTTCGCGAAGTAGAAAGCTTCGTAGTGCCTGTGTGGATCATCTCCCACCATGCACAGTATCCACATGCACGCCGCCAACAAAAGCCTGAAGCAGTTAGCCACCCAACAGAGACGGTCGTACGAGATGAAGTCGCCGTCGATGTGCGCACCCATTTGCACCACCGCGCGGAATGCATGCGCGATGCAGATGACGGTGGACTCCTGGTACGCCGCCATGTCGTTGTCCTCATGTTCGTCCTCGATGTTGGCGCCGATGAACCATAGTGGCAAGTCCATGAACAGATCTATCGTGTGCGCGCATACCGACGCAATGACGACGTTGCACCACTCCTCGTCGTACCACATTGCACGCGCAATGTCCTTCGCTATGGACTCGAGCAAGTATTGGAAAACCACATTGTATCCCCTTGGGCGGTTCCCAGACTTAAGCCGGGCTCGCAGCCGTCCCAATCAGTTTTGTTCTCGCCACGCGCCTCCTCTCTCGCCATTGCCACAACTGCTGCCTCCTCTCTCGCCGTCGCAACGGGGGCCACAGCGCCTGAAGCACCCGCACCCACAACACCTACCGGCTCGCCCCCAATTGCGCGCGCGTCTGCCACGACTTCCCCCCAACCGCCACGCTGGACAGACCCTCCGTCATCACCCAGGTTGCACTTACGTGGCTGAGACGGTGTGGCGGGCTGTCTACCTGTAAGTCGCCTTCCGTCTACCGCACCGCGTGCCGTCGCCGTCGGCGCTGGGTTGCCTTGTGCAAGAGTGCGCAGGCGACATTTCTCCAAGGGCTCGTCATCATCGCTGCCCAGATCGACGACGACAACCTTCTCTATCCGCGTGTCGCGGGCACACAGTTGCTGCACCTCGGGCGGAGGGGTGAGCATCCTCTTCGAAGCGCTCTGATTAGGAGAGCGCTGCCGAGCGCTCTCCCGTACTGAAGACGCGGTCGCCTCTGCCTACTCTTCCTCCCTTGTGGAGTCGTCGTCGTAGTCCCCTTCCGCTGCTGCCGCCTAACCTTGCGCTCGACGAGGAGGCACGCTTGCTGACGCATCATCAAACGCGCCCTCTTCGCCTTCCGGACATGCTGCCGACCTCTTCCCTGCCCTTGGTTGTCGTCAGGGACGCCGTTGCGCTTCTTGCCACGGGCGCTCCCTCGCGTAGACAAGCTTCGTCACGACCTCTGCAGGCAAGCTGGGCGGTCCGATCGGATGAGCGGGAAGTGCTTCGTCGACCGTCGTTCGAAGTCCCACCCATCTCGCGAGAAAAATGTCTCCTGTGCTGCTGCAGCCTGACGAGGAAGAATACCCCTACGACGCAGAAGGTCTCTCCTCCGCGGGAAGAAGACGATGACGTACACGTGCACGACAGAAGGACGACGACCCCAGCGAGAGCGCTCCGCGGAGAAAAGATTGACGGCGAGAAGAGCAGAAGAACGGCGGTCAGAGTGCTCCGCGACGAAATGATTGACGGCGGACGTCCACGTGTACGACAGAAGGACGTCGACTCAAGCAAAGATCCTCCACGTGACGAGATGGTTACAAAGGCGCCGGCGGTGGTCCTCCGCGGCACTGAAGATGTCTGCGGGGAACAGGCAACATTTATCCGCGGTGAGCAGACTTGTACTGCTCCCGCGTTGTTGAAGTCGGCGTCCAGCAGGCGCGGCGAGCTTCTGTAATGGAGACACCCTAGTGCGGACGACATTCATGCGGGTTGGGATGCACACGACTGAAGTTAACGCAGCAGATGGACCGCCCATGGCGTCGCTTCTCTGTGGCGAGAAAAGGCATCGTCGACGGTGCCACGTGAGACCACCCTGCCTGTCCTGTCGTGTCATTATTATCCTCCCCAAGGTGCGAAAAGACCCTTCGACGTCCCTGGCGACGCACGTCAATTCACTCGTAAGGGACCAAAAGTAAAAGAACCCACCTTCACCCCTCACCACCCCATCACGCCTACCTCTCGCAGCCACCGCCCCCCCCCTTTCCACTCCAGACCCTCTCGTCCACAATCCCGAAACAACACACCCCCTTTCAGACATGGCTCTGTGGTTCTCGAGCCACCGAAACGCAGACGATGCACTCTGGTCGTCGAAAATGATGACTACATAAAAAATAATAATAATAAAAAAATTACCCACACAACTGTGCGGACGACACACACACACACACACACACACACACACACACACACACACACCGTGCGATCTACCACCGCGCTCCTCGATAGAAGAATCCGTGAACTAAAAGCAAATAAAAAAATTAAGCCAACTACGAACGCAATGACTGGACTTCAATCAACACACGATCGAACGGCCTACATCGGCGACCGACCACCGATGGCGGCAGTGATCTCCATAAGCGTGTGGCACATCATCCTCTGTGTCTCATCGGACGCCGCATAGTGCGGTTTTTGGACTACAACTTCCTGCTCGAGTATATCGCATTGCCTCGTGAATATGCTGCATTGCTGCTTGCTAGACGAATCGATCGTCGCCGACATCAGTTCGCCATGGTGGTCCATGACATCAGCGATCGACTCCAACGCCTGTTGACGCGCATTCTTCCGCTTCCCGCCTCCAACCCCACTGCCTGCGTTGTTGTCGGAGTCCCTCGCAGAAGAACGTTCTTCAGGGCAGTCGTCACCACCGGCCTCACTACCAACATACTCCCCACCAACCGCTCCTCGCCTGGGCAGCTGCACCCCGTTTGGACTGCCGGTGTCGGTGATGTTGGGAGGGAAAATTGTATGGCTCCCCAGTATGCCTGCGTGGATCTCGTTGTACAACACCCTCTCCATCCGGAACTTGAAGTTGTGCTCCTTCCTTTCTTCATTCGATAGCCTGAAGAAATCTGCTTGGCCGCTGGGATTCTGGAACCTTTGTATATTCTTGTAGTTTTGGAAGAGATTGTCCCACTTCTTCATGCAGTCGTCGGCGTCTTTAGGCCTCCCCGCGTTCGCCATGCGCTTTGCAATGTCGTCCCACTTCCACTCCTTGGTTCGCATCCGCCCGTAATTGTGACCCAGCCCGGCGAGGTGCATCTCTTCCTCCCGCTTGCATCTCACCAGGAGCATTTGGTCTTCCGGAGACCAGTACGTCGCTGACTCCACCTCTGCCGCCACGACCAACGGATCGACCACGAACAACACCTCTGCTGCGTCCTTTCCCCCTCTCACCGGTCTTCCCCAAAGGCCAAATAGGAATGTCGTCGTCATCGTCCCCTACTTCCACGTCCTCCCTCAATCCTTCGTTGGCATCGTCACCGCCATCGCCATCGTCGTCGCCGCCATCGCTGTGTGCCCACATGTTTGACACTCCCTGTGTGATGTTCTCCACAGCGGGTCCTGATGCACCGGTGGTATGCGGGTGCCCTCGTCCCTCAGGTCGGGTTGGGTCGGCGTTGTGCGGTTGGGCATCAAAGGACGTGCACCGCCCATGCGCAGGGACCCGGATGCGATTGCAGTGCGCGTGGGCCAAGTACTTGTCAAACGATCGGCGGACGGTGCACTCGATCCATGCTGTCAGGCTGTTGCCGATGGCCCGACACTGCCAGTAACGGACGCAGCGCCAGGAAGTGTGGACTGCTTCGTATGCTCACTTCCAGCATGTTGAAGGCCACGTGGTGAAGGATCGGTGTCGATGATGAACGTACGGCTCGCCTCCCTAGCGCCGCCAAAACACAACCCGAACCTGAGATCAAGTCCTCCGTCGTCGTCGTCGTCTCCCAAGCCTTGGTGCAGGAGAGGTGAACTCGCCGCCTTCGTTGCTAGCCGACCCGCCTGCTCGCACCGTCTGCGACAACAACTGCGTCGACCCGCTGGCGAGAGGCAACGTTGGAAGTTCTTCCGTCTCCGGCTCCTCGTCCGACGGGGGCAGTGGCGTCTCCCATGACTCTAGATGGGTGCACATGGACGGGTCGTACCACCGTCGACGCCCCGCCATTGCAGGTCGTCTTCCGCCTTGACCTGCAGCCAGAACCGCGCGTGCCTGCATGCCCGCCATCGGACGTTCCCCTGCCTGCCGTTTCGTTGACACCCTCCGCTTGCGACGTTGCTTCCAAAGTCGGCACGACAAACACACGTGGAGGAAAACGACAAACAGAAAGACGACCACACCAAGCACCCGCAGAGGCAATCTCTTGTGCATGTCTGCCATCAATCAAATCGCAGGCAGGCACCCTTCTACGCGACTACTGCAGAAGTATCTTCTTGCATGCCGGTGGATAGGGCCGATGGACCTTCATATGCTGACAACCACCAGAGTAGACGACAAAGGTGCTGGCCTGCGATTCAAAAATCGACCGCTGCCACCCGCGCACTGCCGGAAGCACCTCCGTATGTCATACCACGCACGTCGTCGTCGTCCTCCGCTACCCGCAATCGAGCCAACGGTCCAATACGGACGCCCGCCCGCCCACGCTCGGCCCCCCGCGCTCCTCCCCGTCGGCCAACGACTACCGTTGGTGGCCGTTGCCGATGTCGACCCACATAAACCCTCCGATGTCCGACCACCCACCCGACGGACCGCTCCTAGACCAGCAACCCCGTGTCGACGGGGCCATGTGTGCGACGCAACGAGTCCGTGAAACGCGGGAATCCTAAATTTTTCAATAGGTCAGGGGCTTCTGGAAAATTTAGGACGATTTTGCCTGGGAAATCCTAAATCCTTTAGGACTCGTCCTAACGCCGTTTTCACATTTTCGATCTCGAAATTGGATTTAGGATTGCGTGCAACGAAGACATAATCCTAAAAACAAGCACTTTTAGAAGTGTCTAACGAGACCCTCAATCCGAGTTCCTTCCTCCCTCCACCGTTCTCCATCGCCCATCCTTCCTCCCTCCTACTCTTTCTGCATTTACCTTCCTCCACATCTTTTAAATTCTTTTTCAGAGTTTTTTTATTATTATATATAAAGCCTTTGTTATGTTCCGAATGATGTTTGAGGTTGGGGACCTCACAATTCGACCCGGGGTCATCCTGGGCACATTACCCAATTTAGCTTACAAGCAACTGCTCGCCACAAAATCTCTTCAACCTTCCTATTATTTTCGATTGTTCATAAAACAGAAAGAAATGGCCAGATGGTGCGAATTTAAATTTAATGTTCGCAGGCCGCCTATCCAAACACAACACGATTATAGAGCCAAATGGAATAAGCTGCTCCTAAAATCATTCCAATGGCTGCTAATGTTGCCACGTTGGGCGCAGCTTGAAAAGCGTCTGCTAAAATAAAAAACTCACCAATAAAACTACGAGTGCCTGGCAGACTAATATTGGCTATGGATTGGGGATTTAGTGGTGTAATGTTAAGAGTGTTCTCCTTCCTCAATTTTGCCAGTATTCTCCTTCCTCCATCTCTCCTCCATACATCTCTCCCTCTTCTATTCTCCATTCTGAACCTCCTTTCTTTTCTTAGTTTTCTACTTCTCTCGTTTTTCCACCCTCGCTCCTTCCTCCACCTAGCCCCTACTCAGCCTCCATTTACCTTTTTTAGGCTTTTTCCACGTCTTTCAAAAAAATTTACAAGTTTTAGGGAATTTTTTGTTTTTCCTTTTGGATTGAAAAAAAGAAGGAAAAAGAAGGTTAGGTAGCAACCGAAAATTGATCTTTTTCTTTTTAATTGAATTATTTGCGCACCACTTATCCAGTTTTTTCCCTTTTTTCCTTTTGTGAGGTTGTCCTTTATGTGGGGCACCTCTGTCATTATCCCTCCCTCCTCCCAGTGTTCTCCATCCTCCATTTCTTCGTCATTTCTATGGGGCACCTCCCTCCTACATCTCTCCTCCCTCTATTCTCCACTCCCAACCACCTCCCTTATCGTTTGACTTTTTCCCCTTCCTCCACCTCCTTGCTTCCTCCTCGTACACCCTTCCTCCTCCCCCCCTTCTCATGCCTCCTTTTTGTGTCCTCCTTCATTTGTCCTCTGTCCATGGTCCCATTCCCTGCACCCCGTCGGTTTATTTTTTTTTTGCTTTACCGAAAAAGAAAAACGACGATGGGTGTAGGGAAATGCTGATGGACAAGGGTTGTTGAAGCTTGTCTTTCTGTTGTGGTGCAATTGGGATTGTTGATGCTTTGTTGAATGAGGGGTTCTCGGAAAGGGGGGGAGGGGTTAGAGATAAGGTGTTCGAGAGGGAACACAAAAAAGAAGAGTTGACATCGATGTTTGTCGTGCTTATTCTGTATGTCATGCAGGGTTGAATGTCGAGCAAGCATTAGGAGCAGACAAAGACTATAGCATTACGCCTGCGTATTAAAGGGGGGGGGGCGGGAAAACTGTAGTCAGCGCACTAGGCGCATAGATCCGAAGTGTGCAGCGCACCGGGCACAAGGCACAACGCGCAACACCCAGCGCACCATGCACTATGCGTCTGCGGGACTACCCGCACACAGCTCCAGACGCACCGCATCAGAGCGCCGCAAGTATGGTTCTTACCATGGTTACCGCGGACTCGAACAGAGCATGATGTCCGGCCAGCCCGACGTCCAAAAAAATCCAGACAAAAAAAGATTAAAAAAAAAAAAAAAAGGTTATAGAAGGTTTAGAGATAGGGAGTGAATTGGGCCCTACTTACCTCAACGCATAATCCAGCCTGTGCACCTCTCTCTCTCTCTCTCTCTCTCTCTCTCTCTCTCTCTCTCTCTCTCTCTCTCTCT